CATCGCTGCTATGAGGTCGAATTGAAAAGTGCCTGGTTTTTGTATTTTGGAGCACTTATTTTTTTTGTAAAGTTATTGGCGTTTGAACACGTCAATTTGATTTTCTTCGGACTTTTTAGTACTTTAGTTGATGCGTACTCACGGAGCCGCATTCCCGGATAGCCGAAAAAACTAAAACCCTCCGATTTTAATTAAATTAAATCAGAAAACTTGTCGCTAAATTGAGGACAATCGAGATTGGACAAAAAAGTGTCTCAAAAATATGCAGCAAGCTATTTAAAAAAAATTCCAAACATTTTTAAGAGATGTGATTGGCTAATACTTTTACTCTCATTGAATTAATCAACAACAAGAGCCCGACTACAACAGGGAATCGACCCCCTCACCAACCAAAGTGTCCCTCTTTGGTATTTTTTATGACATCCATTTTCGGCCGACAAACCCTAAATTTTTTGGCATTTTTGGCCTTTTTTAAACATTTGTCCCCCATCGAGAAAATCCTAGATCCACCCCTGCATCCGCCCCTCAGTTTGAGGGCCCTTAATAGTTTTTTTTATATTTCGGCTATCCGGGAACGAATTTATTTTTCGGCTATCCGGGAACGAATTTACTTTTCGGATATCCGGATATTCGGCTCCGTGACACGCCACCCTTTAGTTTTCTTCTAAAAACTGACAACGCAATTTGTAATTTTTCGTTTTAGGTTTGTTTTCTAGTTATTTTTTTGAAATATTCAATTTTTGGCGTAACTTGCACGCGCACCAGTTTTTCTTGTTTTTTTTCTTAGCTTTTTGAAGAACTGGATTTTGAGTTTTTGTTTCATTCGGTCTTTGAAAAAAGAAAGATATTTTTAAAATTTCATAGTAATTTAACTACCAAGAGATTAATGTTAGTCGCAGCTGAGATAAACGCGTTGTAAGTTTTCTTTAAATTAAAATGAGATAGTTTATGAGCCGAAATTACTAGCTGACCTATGTGAGCGTTATATAAACTATCCAAAAAATTTTCTACCAGATAAAATGCCAATTTTTAAAAATTATTTCTTATCATAATTTTATTTTAAATTACTTATTATTTCGAGCTCAGACTTTTGAAGTTTACTCGTGAAATAACCCAACAAGGGGTTAATTTCTTCAAAAAACAAGAGTGGTACACAAATTTGCTGCGTTATCGAACTACTCCTCCTTTCAAAAATTATTTAGCGCGTGATTTCTTTGTATAGTTTTTCATACTAACTATTGTTTTCACATTGTTAATTGCTCAGAAAATCATTTTGGTCGACCTGTAACAAGACTGCTCGTATCAGGGCGAAGCCCTGAATGTTCCGACTGCCTTTTAACGTTTATGGAGCAGCAATAACCTAAATATCATTAACAAATTAAATGTAATAGAAAAAATGAATTTTTTTTTAATTTGAATTTTTTTCTATCAAAATCATCCCCCCACACGCCATATAAACTACAAAAGAATAGATTTCCCTCCTTGTAACAAATCAATTATGGCACATAAGTTTTTTTCAACCAATTTCGAACGATTTTAAGGACGGAGCGAATCTCCGCTTACGTTTTAATCGCGCTTTATAAAAATGATCACATGTGAAATATTTTTTCAAATTTAAGCTCAAACAACAATAATTTTCGAATGAAATTTAAAAATTTTGTCAAAAATGGCTAGTTAAAAAGTCGAAAATTGTCTGAAGAAAAAAACCCACCCCGAGCACAAATATTCAGTTACTTTCGTATCGAAAGTCGGAACAATTATTCCGTTGTTTTGAGTCGGGTTTCGCATTTGATCTATATTATTTATGTATTATTGAATAGAGCCTGTAGATGAACTTTAGATAGTTTATGGCACCGGATTTTTTTATGTCTCTCACTAGAAGTTTTTGCAGAAAATGACGGAAAATTGGTGCTCTGATTAGTGTTATCTAGACAGCTTTTGATCTTAACTAGAAATTGCAGAGTTTGAAAAAAATTGCTGCCTTCAACTCAGAGCTAGAAAGATGGTAGTAGGTTTGTAAATCGATGTATCAGCGAACCGAAAACGGGTTGACTATAATAGTGAACCGAAAATTCATGATTCAAATACATAATCACATTAGCTAAATACTGAGATATTTACAAAAACGACAAATTTTTTCTCGAAACAAAAACTAAATCAAAAAGTGAAAAAAATTAACTCTTTCCGTGAGCCCCGTTTGGTTAAATTTATTAATCTAGCGCAGGGAAAACTTATTCTGTAAGTCTTTATTTCCGCAGTAGATGTTTTTATTACGCTATTCGGTTTACTGATCTGGAATTTAGTGACATATCAATTTACTGTACGCACATCTAAAAGTTTTTACCGGAGAGCATCTTTTTTTAATTATGGTGGCTTGAAAAGTCGCAACTTGGAATCATTAATCATTTTTTGCCGTTATCATCTTCTATTAACGCGTAGCTGCAATGTTACAAAACCTCAAAAAGCATGCCATTTTGAATTGAGCAAGCTTTGTTGGTCCAAATAACGCAAAAATATTCGAGAAATTTATCACTTTCAACTTGGCATTTCATGTGGTGGAAGGTGTCCAAAATACTCTCAAAAGCGTTTTTGAATTTTATCACCAAAAGCTACTTCATATACTCTAAAGAGCAGTACAAAAACATGGCTCCACTCTGAAACGAGCAGTCTTGTTATATTTAATTCAAAAACTATCCATATTCTTTTCCAAAATGTTTTCAACTTTCAAAGTTGGCCAGAAAAACCTCCTATTTGAAAATAATTTGGAAAGTATTATCAAAGAGTGTATGTATCTGAAAAAAAAAACTAATAAGAACTCATTTTTTTTGCAGGTGGAACAGTGTTTGAAACGTCTGGCCGAAACTTTGTGCTGGATGCTTCTTCTCCCAACTACAGTCTGCAGCTGATACCATACCTGTCAAACATCAACCCCAATCTGCCTGCAGTTCCAGGGTCTTACCATGTGACTCAATCTAGGAACCAATTTAACTTTCATAATCAACTTTCACACGTTTCATAATCAGAGCAGATGTTTTGTTACATTGTTCTCAAGTTACATGTAACAAGTTATTAGTCTTTTTTGGCATTTTACGGCAAAAAAATATTATATAAGTACGCTATTTATGAATTTAAAAAAAATAAACTTTTTTGAACAGAGAGAAAGAGAGAGGGAGATATCAAAAAAAAATTGGCCTTCCTGAAAGAAGAATCATAATATTCAAGAAATTAGCATATAATATTTTGCCTATATTTTACTATGTGTAGAAAACTAATACCTCACAATTAATGTAAATAACAAAATATTAAATTGGTTCGAATGTAGAATTCTCGTGCCGCCTCGCCTCAGCTCGGCTCTAATGGTCTCCTTCGAAGCAAATGACGACTTGACACCGGTGTCGATCTATTTCACTCCCGGTAAGTCTATGTTTGTATAATTACTTGTATGGGACATGCTTTCTTGTTTTTTGTTCCAACTTTCAAAGAAAACGGAATTTTTATGCTTGGGGTGGTTTTTTATCAGTATACAACCAATTCATACTGATGCTGAAAGCGTAACGCGAATCACACACAATTATCACGCACAACAAAATTGTTCCAAATTGAATTAAGGCTAGCTAAGCTGATCAGTCATATTAATTTTGTAGCTGGAAGTTTCGGTGGAGTCCCTCATAGGCGAAAGATTGAATGAGCCAAAACAAAAATCAGCCAATCAGACTTCAGTATTCCAAAACTTAGAAATAAAGCGTGAAAACTTCAAGGAGAGTGAACATTTTCAGGGACTTAATATTATATTGGATGAGCATAAAGATGCAGAAACAATCAAAACTTTCAAATTGCCATTGACCGCCCGAGAATTGGAACGAATTGTATATTTCAACGGTTTCGTTATAAAAAAAAAGAAAAATATAGCTTTTATTTTTTTCCTTTTAGTTGAAAGGCAATTGATTCATTTTGGTAAATGTTTTCGACTGTTTTTGCTTTCGGTCTTTCGCCCATTTGGTCCTTTGCCAATGAAAATAGCCCATAGAATTTCACACTTGATCTTCGATTTCATCCAATCTTGATAGTTTTTCGATATTTTACCCCAAAAACTAATCGATATGGATGCAGGGGCTGTCGGAACATTCAGAGTTTGCCCTGATATACAAGCAGTTTTATTTTA